CCCCCCAAAGAAAAAAAAAAATCTTGCCAAATCACATTGACTTCCACACCCAAAGAAGAGTAGCAAAATTGGGGGCTGCTGCACATCTGTGTAATATGCAGCCCTGCATGAATTTATTCTTTGAGTCAATGCTCCCAGGAGCATTACGGGACTACACCCTTAGTTCATTGGCAGGGAATGCAAAGAGCCCACAAGGTAGGATTAAGTAAGGGAGGCCAAAGCACTCCAAAAATAGACTGTGAAAAGCAAAGCAGCTGCAGTGTTACTGGACAGACCTGTAACTCTCTGGAGCCGTAACTTTTTAAAATGCATTTGGCACTTCATTGCAATAAAACATGTGGTTCTCCACAAATGATTAAATCATTTAGAGCAGCAGGCTTGCCAGCAGGGTGTGGGTTTATGATTTGTTAGATCTTGTTACATCATAGATTTGGGGGAAATTATGTAACTTATTTGTTTTTCATGTTGTTTTAGATTCTTCCTAGGTGTCCAGTCTGACGTCATATTCCCTCTCTAATTTACACCCTTTTACGAATGGAATGAAAAAAATGTGGCCGCTTTAGCAGCTGCTATATAGCAGGCAAATAAAACCTATATAGGCCCAGGCTGCCATTTGGAGGGATGCAGAACACCCAGATGGGATAAAAATGTCTCAGAGTTTCCTAGTGTACAGAGGGATTTTAGCTGCTGAATCAGAAATCCTGCCGCAGAACTTCAGAGCATAGGACAGAGGAAAACTGAATTCTGTTCTTGGCATTATTATTGAGTAAATTCACTTCACCTTTCTCTGCCTCAGTTTTCCAACTTAGTTAGTGAAGCCATTTAGTGAGTTCTTTGAGGTACCTACCTGGATGAAGTTTGAATTCATATTAGAATTGTTCATTAGCACGGCGTTAAATTAGAGTTTCTACTTGTCTTTATTAGTGGCTCTTGAATTAATGGCAATAACACATCATATGCACAAACCACCACCAAAATCCATACCCCTCACCCAGCCAGGAATACCGAGTAGACTCCAAATCCTTTTAAATTACACAGATGCAAACCCCAAACTTAATTGTCTGATTTCATTTTAATGACTTGCAGATGCTGCTCAGCTGGAGACATCTAAATTCAGTTTAATTTGTTGATCACAGCCAGTGAACTTGCAAACTGCTCCTCTGCAGTGTTTTGTTTTCTCAGTGTAATGCCAATAGGCAGCACCCACATCCGAATAACAGCACTGCTCTGTGAACAGAACAAAAATACAGAATGCTGCTCTGTGCCAGTCAGGTCATTACCCAGCACAGGGGCATCAGCTTCATCTTCTCCATGAGGGACTAACTTGTTCTTACCTCCCTTTGTGACTTCCTTATTTTAGGACGACCTTCCTATTCCTGTTGCAGCCTGACTCACTCCCACTGAAGTATGGTTGGAGTGTTGTAGCCACGAGGGTCCAGGAATGCCACTAAAGTCATTCTGATTGTCTCCATTGACGTGAATAGCAGTAGGACTAGACTCTTGTGTAGGAGGAATGGTTGCTGTCCTGCAAGTTACGGCATTCCCATTGTGAGCAAAGGGTTCTTGTGTGCTCTGGCTTTCATCTCAGGGGTCATTTGAGCATGCTAATCTTTAAGATGCTACGAGTGGACACTCAGCTGCAAGATACTTTTTCTTAGCTGCTTTGTCTTGATTTCCTTTGCTCTGAGAAGCACTAGGAAATGTTTTCAGGAGAGGAGCTGGGCGGTGATGGGGTCACTGACTGGAGCACCTGTGCACCTTCTGCTGGCCTGATGAATAAAGAAATGATGTTTCTCAACACACACTCAGTGAGTCACACTGAACCAGGTGTGCCCTGGATTGTATCAGGCAGCATAACTGCATTGGTAATGGAGAAAAGTGTCTGATTAAAATAATAAATATGCAGTGAGTTTCACATTGGTGACAGGTTCTGGATTAGCAGCCTTGTCAGACAAACTGCTCCCGTCATCCACTGAAGTCAGTAGAATGGGCAGCAGTGTCCCAGTTTCCCGCCACGTACTTCAATCATGACATACAGGAGCTGTCGCTACAAAATAAGAAGATGGTTCACTCTCCAAGGTGCATCCAGCCCTTGACCTCTCTGCTGAGGATGTTGTAAAGAAACATAATTAGTGCCTTTGGTAGTTTTGCAGGCTTTTGATGTAGACACCTGAGTGCTGGAGTTGGACAAGCTACTCTTATATATAGGTTATGGATCGTCCTAAAATAACTTTAACACTGCCAGGAAAGAGTTGAGTATTGAGTGACCTTGGGGCCATGCCCAGGCCACAAACTTATGTCCAGCAGCACTGCCCTCAAACCTGCTGTGCTGCTTTGGGCACACTAATGCCCCGGTGAGAAGCATTGTAGCTGCGTCGCCACAGCACTGAGGTGGGAAATGCTGGGATAAGTTTTTATTGAGGGGATGCTTGTGGATTAAGAGGGTACTGCTGTATGTTGGAGGAAGGGATTTAGATCTTGTTAAAAGGATGGGGGGGAGGATAGAAGGAGCACCTCATATTATCCCTTGCTTCTCGGTCATCTTGCACCATGCTCTGCTTTTGCAATGAGACTACTATCAAAGGGTACTGTGTTCAGCCTCTGGTGTAAGAAATGGTGAGACTCTCCTAAGGTGCTTGGGGATGGG